CTAGGTCATTAAAGGATGTCATGAATTACTTGCTTAAACATAAAGTATTATTTCTACCACAGAAGGTCATCAGTGGAGTCTTGCTCATGTTACAAGCGTGTCTGTGTACGAATATTGCTGTTGCTAAGAAAAACTTTCTTACTCTGTCAGTAAAATAAAATGTATTGCAGAATTTTGCATTGTACTGTGTCTTACTGTTCTTTCATTTCTTGTGGGGTTGGTAGGTTTAAAGACATGTAAGCAAAGGGGATTGTGACTGGCTAAGAGTGGTTCAAACAAATGCTGATTTGAATCATTTACACAGTTCAGCAAAGCCAGCAGGACCTGATTTATGAAAGCTGCCATGTTGAAACCAGAATCTGCACCCTAAAGACACAAGTCACACAATCATGGTGTTCAATGATATTTCTTTTAAGGCTGAAACAAACTAAGAAGTAGAACAACGTAGAAACAGTGGGAATCAAAAATGATTAAACAGGAATTGAAACTTGTGTGGAACCTGTCTGGAGGGGAAGATGCTTCTGTTGTGGCTCCTACTTCCAGATTTTGGTCCAAGATCAAATGCAAAATTTGTAACGGTGTAATGAAATTGTATTTGCATAAACTGCTATAAATATTATTGACATTGTAGCAGTTTTAGGATGACAGCAATTCATTTGTTTCTCTGCGCTGTCTGAACTAGCTGTTAGCTCATCAGTCTGGTCAGAATTAAACTCTATTTCTCTAAACTGAGGCTCTTCAAAGAGCTATCTTCAACACATTTTAAAAAATAATTGCTTGTATCTTTACCACAGAGCTCCATGTTAAAAGATCTGAACTATCCCTTCAGCACCTGTCTTCATTTTGAGTACAAAGCAGTTAACATCATTCAACGCACAAAGGGTATTGTGTTTTTAGATGAAATATAAACAACACAAATCTTACTTATGTTTCTTTAATATTCTTTACAATAATAATAAAAAACTTCTTCAACATACTGCATAATCTGCATGTGAATAAAATAAATAGCAAAATGAACCATACAATTATTAGAGATAAAATAAGGCAGAGTTGCTCCTCTGGGTTGGTGCAACTTTGCAGCATATAAAACAAAGGAGAAAGTGGGAGAGAAACTGCATTTGTGAAGGAGTCCAGGTTGTAGTGGAGGTCTGCAGTCACACACACACACACACACACACAGGTTTGTATTTCTATCCTTATTAGGACCGTTCATAAACTCCCATTTATTTCCAGTTGTTTCTTTAGCCTAACCATGACCCCTTACACTAGACACCCCTGCACCCCCTCTGTGCACACCTACCCTTAAACCTAGCCTAAACTCATCTCAAACCTTGGACCTAACCCCCCCAACCCAAAAATGTTATTCTACCCTATAAGGACCAGTCTTTCGTCCCCATAAGGACTACTGGTCTAGACAAGCTAGGCGTGTATACTAGAAACGGTTCTAAAAAGGTAAGAACTCACACACACACACATGCACACACACAGAGAGAAGCAAAGTCACTAAAAGGGAAACTGCAGACATTCTTTCTGGGAAGATCCAAGCACAAACTCAGAGCCAAGAGCAACACTTCAGCTGAAATAAGTGTCATGATTTGATGTTCTTTTAATCCCACTGTCCTTTAGAAATCTCATGACGTTATTTGAGATTAATGATTTTTTTTGTGAATGTTTCAACAGACAAAATAAAATTGAACAAAACAAAGCCTGACCCATACATTGCATCATTTAAGCAAACAGTATTTGGCAAATGTTCTGCAGTTTAATTTAACCGCTTAACACAATTTGATTCCAGGTAAACAATGATTGGTTGAAGTCACATGACCGTAAAAACCGAAGGCACACACCAGAACCGATCAAGTAGCATATGCTTACAATGACAAAGTATTCAAGTCAAGCACTGCATCAGTCTGAACTGGGACAAAAACAACAAGACTGCAGCAATTATTAATAAGCAGTAAACAAATAAATACGTTTTTTTTTTTTTTTTAAATCCTTCAGAAAAAAAATAAACCTGACTGTAGAAAACAGATCAGCATCAACTCAGGCTGACTGGATAAAACAGAGGTATCTATGTGTTTATGTTTGTTTGTTGGTTGGTTGATTTGCTGCGGTTTATATTCAACTAGCTGCACTGAACTCTACAACATATAGTAAATTCAACACTTTTGATTTAAGCCTTAAATATGATGCAACTCTTACCAAGTTTTATTTGGAAAAATAAAACTAAGTTTACTTCTAGCACCTCTAAGATTTCAGGTAAATTTTAATTTTGTGCTATTTGTCTTTTTGACATTTAACATTAAGCATGGGTTGTGCTCGATAGTTTAGACTGTTAAAAAAGAAGAACCTTAACAGATCAAAAAGGTATAGAACGGCATTAGAAAATACATGTTGTGTGTATGTTGGGGGTGGGGGTTAAAATATTCCTTGATGCATCACAATGCAAACATGAATGATTGTGAATCAGTTTAACAATGTTAAAAATTGATGATTTAAGAATAATGTCATCTTGAAAAGAACAGGAAACACGTGAAAGTGGTAAAAACAGTTGGCTGCTGCTATCGTCATTTCAAAAATGTAAGGGAGGCTGCCAAGGTGAGTAAAAAAAGGCAAGCCAAGGTCGGTGAATATAGGCAACAAAGAGGCAGAGCTTGGAGTACAGTTCTGCGAGCTGTGCAAACAAAATTTGGCCATGGTTGCAAAACAATCAAAATTCAGTGAGAATGCAACTGAAAATGTGTCTTCTTTTTGACAACTTTCTCACAATTTTGAAATGCCAAATACTCTACAACAGTTAAAGCCCAGAGAGGTACCACTTTAGGTTGCTCACTTTAGAGCTATGATAGTAGATGATCATTCCAGATCCAACAGTCTTTTTTTTACAATGGAACCAATAACAAAGTTGAGGAAACATTCAAAAAGCAGGTAAGACCCCACATAGCAGACAGATGTGGGCCAGATCTGGTGTCAGACCGATACAGCTGGCATCCCAAGTGGTTTGTCAACTGGATGTAGGCCAGGTCTGGCAATGATGGCACTGTTTTTAAGATGGTGTGCCAAAAATGGCCCAGTTATGGTTTGGTTTATGTGATGCTGGCCTATGCATGGACCACTTCTGGCATACCACATCTGGGCCAGCAAATGGCTGTCATTCTTTGCGGTATCTGGGCCGAGTGTTGGTGCCTTGTGTGGGCCAGACTGGGTCAGACACGTTTTGCCATGTGGATAGCTCTAAAGTGATGTATGGAAATTCTTTTCTACAGAATCCAATGTTAGTGTACTCACAATTTTCACTTTTTTATTCATTAAGTTCCTAAAATCTTTTTTAAATTAAAATGAGTTTATACTGCTGAGTAGAGCAAAATACAGTGTTTTGTGTATTTTAGGTCTGAGTGTTTCTATGCTCAGGGGTTTGTTTAAAGACTTATTATGGATGAATTAATATTAGTTTGATTTCATTTCATCCTTCTGCATGTTCATCAAAACAATTAGTGAGGCACATAATAATTTCCTATATATATCTTTGTCCCATGTAATATTAACAGAAACAAATACCAGGCAATTTCATACTAATAAAAAAGCTCCTAAAATTCACATTTTTTTAAATTAGCTTCTTAATGTACCTTAATATAATAAAATCTCAAACATTTGTTAACATTTCTTATTTCAGTTTTTATCTATCTTTTGTTTTGTTTTAATCGTGATGAAGATAGTTTAAAAATGACGTTACAAAGAATGAAGCGACTCTAAATTAAACTTAAACACAATCAGAAGCAGGAATAAAGCACAGGGTAATAAAACTGTTTTCCTCTGTATAAACTGTATTTGCTTATTGGGAGATATGAGAAGTTTGACTAAGAGCAGCAGTAGGAAAAATAATTTTTTCAGTAACAAAAACACAAAAAACATGAACAATAACACCAATTCTGTACAATGATACATACAAAATACACTGACAGGCTTTTGTAGCTGTTCAATAAAGATCATATTAACTCTTATACACAAATATACACTTGTGTAATGTAGATGCAGGGTGAAAACAGCAATGACAGCAAAAATTGTTTTCTTAGCACCTTATGTAAGAAATAAATATTTCCCAGAGATATGCCTCCAGGACAGCACTGTCCTGATTTATAGGTGTTAATTTGAAGCCATGTCTGAAAATCGGCTCCATATGTTTTTAATGTCCCTCTGGGTGGAGTACCATTGTTTTGTGTGTTTTGTCCTTTTTTTTCCTAATCAGCACCATGCCACGAAAAGGCCTATCTGGGTGGGCCAAATCTGGCTAATCAGCAGTGGTGCTTGATACTCAGCATTTAATTCTAAATCTCTCATGGTTTCAGACTTAAACTCGGTACACATGTAATTTCGTAATACCCATGAATTCACAGTGACGCAGTCGAGGAAGGTACGTGATGAAAGAAAATTAGCACTATCGTACCGGCTTCCAGGGTCGGCGATGCCAGGATGCGGAGCCGGGACAGGGCTGCAGATTGCACTGCTCCATGTCTGGTGGCTTGTCCAGGATGTCACAGTTGTAGTCGTTGAGCCTTTGTCCGTTGGGCCTCTGACAGACCACCAAGCGTGTCCTCCTCCCTCCACCACAAGTCTGGGTGCACTGATGGATACAACAAACAATTTTAACAGAAATGTTCTAATTGCTTTTGGTCAGTGGTGGGCACAGCTAACAAAAGTATTAGCTACAATAACAACTAAACCTTTACGTAAATTTCTTCGTTAAAATGAATAGAAATTAGTAAAAGCTAAAGCTAATTCACTAACTTTTAACATATTGATGTTTTCTCTGTCAAAATGTAACAAGAACAGTGTGCTACTGAACCTTAGTCTTAAGCAAAAGGTTACAAAAAGTTTTGGGAAACACCTGACCATTAATCATTTTAAATAAAAAACAGTATCCTTTAATATGGAGCTGCTTCACATTAAGCAGTTATACCAGTTTCCATTCTTCTCGAAAGGTTTGCCATAATATTTTAGAGTGTTCCTGTGGGAATTTGTTCCCATTCTTCCTGTTGAGCATTTACGAGGTCATGCACTGATGTTAGATGCTCTGGTTCACGATCAATGTTTTCCAGTTCAGTCTCAAACGTACTTGATAGGGTTGAGGCCAGCACTCTGTGCAGTCCAGGCAAGTCCTTCCGCAATGAACCCAAAAATATCATATTTTTAAAGGCCTTGCTTTGTGCAGTGAAGTACAGTCATGTAGGAATAAAAAAGGGCCTTTCTCAAAGTGTTGCCATGAAATAGAAACAAATAACATTGTCTAAAATGTCTCAAAAAGCTGAAGCATTGAGATGGTCCATCACTGGAGATGAGGGGACTAGCTCAGCCCTGTATTATTATCAGAGATGTAGCATTCTTCCCAAATCCACCAAAGTCAGACTCATCGCCAAACACAGAAGTGGGTTTTGTCACTACATGGAATAGATTATTCTTTGGCTACCTTACCATCTGAGAAAGCATAGTTTTCTCAAATAACTGAGGTGGCCAGTTTACATAAATACAAGAATGGTGGTGGCCATCTTGGATTTTGAAGTGGCAACCTAATGGAGCTTTCTCACATGTCGATGCAGCCACACACCAAAATGAAAACTGGTAGCTCACTTATCTTTCAAGTTTTCCAGCTCACAAGTCTGAAGACACACATGGTGGCAGCTACCTTTGATTTCGATTTGGCAACCCAGTTTTCAATAGGAACATTATACACCTAGATGCAACCACACACCAAAATGAAAGTTGGTACTTTACTTATTTTTCATTATCCAGCTCACAAGACAGACAAATAAACAGATGGGGGGTTTTCCAAGTACTGTTTTTGCTCCCCCTGTTATTGCTGCATGCAAAAAACTAGATTGCACAGAAACAACATGAAGAAAGTTCAAAATAATAGGTGTGTGGAAACTGAGATGAAAGCTACAAATATTAAAGTTGAGTAGTTCTCACTCAAAGTAGAACCTCACCTCTCCCCAGATGCCATAGTTCCACAGAGGACAGGGACCAGAATCGCAGCTTTTGGATTCTGCAGGTTTGACCCTTTCATCACAGTAACTGTTGCTGCGCCCATCGGCATCCTGACAGACCACCACTCGCCTCTGAAAACCTCCGGCACAGCTACTGGAACACTGGAGAGCACACACAGTATTTGATCAGACAAAAGTCATTTGGTCAGTCAGTGTATAAACTAAGTCATACATGCCAACCCCTTCAGACTTTTACCTTCATCTCAAGCCTCAGAAATCTGAATTATCTGTATTATATTCACATGCGATATGGGGACACACACACAAACACATCAAATATACTGTCTGCCATGGGGAAGCTTGTGGAACTTATTTCTTGCAGAGTGGATTGGGAGATAGTTATTTAACTTTAACTAAGCTGAGTTGTTTTTTTAAACAAATCTGTGAGATTTCTCTATGCCTGGGGGGAAATCTGTTTAAAATACATACAATCCTTATAAGTTGACATGGATGCTAAGTATTAAGATTTTCTTAAGTAAATTTAATGTCAGATTTGTTTTCATTAGACCAACAACAAATATAGCATTATTCTGAGTTTTTCAAGCAGTGATCTTCACATGATCAAACCCAGCTGCTTTGCTCATAATTATCATTCAAAGACAGGGAAGTTGGTGAATTGCACAGAATGCTGAACAACACAGCCTTGACAATGGTTGCTGGAAAACTCTGCATCCAATTACAGTGATGCATCCCCTCTGTTGATGGGAGAGAGAACATTCAGTCCTATATATGTGTGGGAGGACAGTACAACATGAACGTGAGCAGTTGTTTTTTTTTTCCTGTTAAGTTACACTTAACTCTGTGCAGGAGGGAATAATTGATATATTGTGGCAGGAAGCTACAAGTCTACAAATCACTGCTTTCTCTTTTATTAGAAATGTGTATAAAATAGCTTCTCACATCAACTTAATCAAAAGAAAAACATTTCAAAAGGGATGCTGCTGAAATCCATTCTAATTTATACTCTAGAAGTGGACAGAGATGGTGGTTCTAGTTGAGAATCATCTACAACATGCTATCAGAGGGTGGCACACAAATATGTAATACAAAAAAAGCTCCTGGTGTGTTTCCACTGGAGTTGCAAATATGGCAATTCACTGGACACCATTACAGTTGTTCCATGGTTCTCCTCACATCTCAAATTATTTTCCCTGTGATGCTTGTTCCAACAGGCTGAACTGTTACGTGGATGTGCATTTGCACTTTCTTTTATGGGAACTCTAGATCAAATCAATAGTTTCTGCTGCAAAAGTTGGTTTAACGAGGCAGTTTTTTTCTTTTCTGCCAAACTGTTTTGGGGATGTACAGTATATACATCCTCAAAAATGTATAAATTAATTTAGAATGTTCAAATTCAACTTTAAGAGTGCCAATGCAATTATGGCTAAAAATCCCAACAGATGCCTTGAACTGTTTTTGGTTTCAAACTATTCTAAATTAGGATTAAGGTTGCCACACATCTACACAGTGGTAGATTACTAAAACCATGTATTAGTGACAAACAACAGTGTCGTGTTTGTATTTGAAGCCTGAATAATTATAACTGTTCAAATTTCATCTAAAGAAATCAGACTACACTTTGTGGTAACCTGGATTCCATTTGTTGTTGTTGTTTTTCACAAACCAGCATGAATGTTAACACATACATCAGATCATACAGTGTGCTGCACATATACTTGTTTTATTCCATGTATGGCCGTCTGCGCTGGGAAATAAAAACATGTCATACATCACCCTCCAAGTTAATGTGCTTGCAAGAATGTGTTTACACACAGATTCATGCACGCACAGCCCATCTCAACAACACATTCATACTATCTATGGTAAATGTAGGTTAGCACATCCAATCTCTGCTAAATGATTTAAAAATGTTTGTAGGATGCCAGAATAAAGTACTGCAATTTGTTGCCACATGTTTTTACCAAAGTTTTTCTTCCAACAAACAAAAATGTTTGCTGCTGTTTCCTAAAACACATTTCGTATGCTGAACATACCGAGCCCCAGGGTCCGGTCCTCCACTGGTTGTCTGCTGAAGGGACATTCCAGCTGCTGTGCCCGGGGTGACGTCTGGGATCCTGAGGATATTCGTATGGCTGTTCATAAATGTGCTGCCGATTATAAACAGAAGGGCAGGGCAATGTAGTACACTCCTGTTCTGTGGCGGGCCTCTCATCTGGGTCGCAGAAAGATGGGTCCACTGGGTGGTGGTAGTTAGAACAAGTCACCTGTCTGGTTGTTCTTCCAACACCACATGTCACTGAACACTGAGGCAGAGAAAAGACAACCAACATGTTACAAACAGAACAACAGAAAGGAAGAAATAAAGTACGCAGAGATTTTTTTTTTACTTTAATTAACTAACAACTTAAAAAAGTTAAGCTCATTAGTTTTGCAAGGTTGTGATTAATTTTGCAAGGGCTTGTCTGAATAAAAGTATCTTTCACAATTTTATTGGTTGCCTTAAATCACTAAACCCTTCGATTGTGCAGTTTAACACAACAGCTTAATATGTGTTCAACATCTGTTAGTTGGACTATCAGGCTTGTGTTGCTTGTCCTATTTTACTTGGAAGTTTTTGCTTTGTTTTTTTCCAAATAAGATTTTTGTCAGATGTTTTCCAGGTTCTAAAATCTGGCCAATGTTAGCAGAGTGGAGCTGCTAATAATTGTTCCCATGGATTGTTTCATTATCTTGAGCCTCGTGAATTTTAAACTGACAACAAGAGGAGAAATCAACTTTAATGTGGCAAATTTAAAAAAAATGGACTCAGACGTTTTTCTCTCTCTCTCTCTCAAAGGAGTTTGTTTGGATTTTATGGACTATAAAAGTACATATTCATTGTAATACAGCAGTGGTTCTTTAACATAACATCAAAACTTTTTGATGAGAGCAAAAATCCAAACATAACAGCAGCACCTTTTTCAGTAAAACGAAGCACATGATTATCATGAGTCACAGGATATAAATGTTGAACTTACAGCAGACCACTCTCTGGGATGCCACTGGCCACAGGGGCTGAAGCAGGTGGAGAACTCAGGGGGGCGTGGCAGGTGGACACAGTATGATTCATCAGCCACACCTCCCTGTGCATCTCTGCAGCTGACATAACGCGCCCGCTTCCCCTTGCCACAGGATACTGAGCACTGGTCAACAAGCAGATAAAAACAATCTTGAACTGCTTGGTTTTTGCTTCTTTAACATGTAAAAAAACAGGCCCACATCATAATTATGGCACACCTTTTTATGGTGTAATTGTGTCTAAACCAAACTTGTTTAAAAATGTAAAAAAGCTTAATTTTAGGAACACTTTAAAACTTTCAGCTGGCATTGATTTTTTAAGCAAAAATTGACACCATAATAATACTTAATATATTGTGATTTAATACGTACTGCCACCAAAGTAAAAGAAAAGAAGTCTAGCACCTTAAAATGTTGATTTTCATCAACTACACATTTTACCAGGACCCAAATAAATAAAAAGTTATCAGGTCACTGAACAGATTATAAACACTTAAAAACATGGAAGCTGAAAGCTAAAATTGTTATGTTTTTTCTGGGTTCTTGTGTTATTTTGGTTCTAGTCTGGTTTTCTGTCTTGTCCCTCTCTGTTTACCCCCTCCTGCCTGTCTTTGTTCCAGCCCCGCCCACTCTCACCCATTCCTCATGTTTTTCTCCCAGGTGTTTCTCGTTTCTGCTCATTAGTTCCCTTTTATATCCTGTTCTCTGTCTTCAGTCTGTGTCAGATCTTTGTTTACTGTTGGTATTGTCTCATGCTATGCCCAAGAGTCTTTGTATCTTGTTTGCTGCCACGCCAGCCTTTGGTTTTTGCTTTAATAAACCTTTTTGCCACCACCACCACTAAGTCCTGCATCCTGAAGTTCTATCCAACCAAGCCAATCATAACAAAAATATGTTCCTGTGCTTTGAAAGAGCAGAGGACACAAAGGTGCAGGACTTCAAGTGCTTAAGGTCAACTGTCCAGGAAAATGGGGAGTGAAGTAAAGGGATGAAGAAGAGAGTCCAGGCGGGATGGAGAAAAGTTTCAGGTGTGACTGGCAGTCTACAAAAGACTCCCTGTCTAGGGTGTACCCTGCCCCTCAATAAGTAACTGCAAGGACATGGGCAACAGTCACCACAGTGAAAGGAAGTAAAGCTATTGGATCAAATAAAAAATAAATAAATAAATAAAAGATCAATGGAAAGGTTTATAAGCAAGTAGTGAGATCAGCTAAATTATACTGTATGGTTTGGAGACAGTGGCATAGAAAAACGACAGGAGAAAGAACTGGAAGTGGCAGAGCTGAAGATGTTGAGGATCTCCTTGGGAGGGACATGGGTGGATATGTTTAGGAATGAGATCACCAGAGGTACAGCACAGGGTGAACAACTGAAAGATAATGTTAAAGGCGCTAGACCAAGATAGTTTGGACATGTCCAGAGGAAAGACTGTAGGTATAATGGTAGATGGATGTTAGAGACGCAGCTGCCCAGAAAACAATAAAGGGAAAGGGGCAAAAAGGAGGTACATGTATGAATGCAGTTAGATGGGACATGGTGATGATTGGAGCGAGGACAGAAAGTATAGAAGACAAAGTGGGATGAAGGAGGATGACTTGCTGTGGTGACCTCTGAAGAGGGAACACCAGAAAGAAGTACCTAGTCTTAGTGAGTTGGGGGTTACGTTTAGGACTAAGGCCAGTGTCACACTACAAGAAAATCATGCCGATTTTTGCCCTTCCGACAATCTTAAGGAAGTTCAGATTATCGTGATGGCTCTAAAGATAATCATAGCAGATATTCCTGCTGTGGATGTTGAGTTAAGAGTGATCTAGTCGGCTCGGAAGGATGTCAGGACCACTCCGACCTCAAATCGGGGATATTCAACATGTTTGATTTTTTGGCCCGATATCACACTGTGTGTTGTGTTCAACCGAGCTCTCAGCCTGTGAATGAGACGTGTAGCCAATCAGAAAGCAAGGTGACATAAACACAGAGGGGATTCCAAAATACTGAAGAAAAAAACCTGTCATGACTCCACAGAAAGTCTGCTGGATGTTAAAAGTCCTATAGAATTGTTTTTCCTCTGGTAAAAATAGTCCACAAACGATCAACATTGTTTCTTCCTCGTCACAAATGTTATTTACTCTGAACTCATGTCTCTCTGGAGGTCACGCGAGATTTTTCCTCAGACATCTGAATTCTCGCGAGATTTCAGGAAGTCTCGCGTGATTTAAAATCTGACATCTGAATGTTCATGGATGAAATATCTTTTCATGTGTGGTGTGTTGTCTCTTGCCATGTGGCTGTACACCACACACTGTAGGATCAAACCTGGTATATCCAGGATTTTTTATCCTCATATGTGGGCTCTGTCAGTCTTTGAAAATCGGCCGACTGTTTTAAAATCTTGTAGTGTGACTCAGCCTTAAGGTGTGAATTGAGTTTAGGTTAGATTTAGGGTCCAGTATGTCCCTGTGAGGTTAAGGGTCAGGGTTGAGCTGTAGAAATGAATGGAAGTCAATCTAGTGTCCCCATAAAGATAGCTGTACTAGAATGTGCACGTGTGGGTGTGTGTACAGCAATATGAGCTCAAATCAACTTTCCCATTGACAAACAAGGTTAAATGTAAAAAACTACAGAATTGTTTTCAGTTTAAATAAGGTTTTCACTTTAAATTAGTATCACTGCAAATTATCAGGGAGGTGAGGGACCTCTCGGCAGACACTGAAGCCTGCAATGATGTGTCTCGTGTTTGAAGATGCATCAGAGGCAATAAAAAAGGAAAATAGAACAGTACATTCAATCTAAATAAATCTAAAAAACTTTACATATATTATGTATAGTACACATGCAGGAGCCCTGTCTTTACTTCAATGTGGTTGGATTCTATTGAAAACAAACACATGCACATAAAAATGCCCCATTATCATTCTTATTTATTCTGATTGCATTGTGCAGCAGAATAGTTACCCTCGAGCAAGACGCACACAAAACAATAAAAAAGCACAGTACATCCATTTGTTTTACTTCAACACAAACCACATTTTGTCTAACTCTTGAATAGTTTGGAACAAGGTCCAAAAAAAAACATCAAACACAATAAACGTTCTTACCGCAGTCCAGGAGCCGTATCTCCACTGAGTTACGAGCTGCACAGAGTTGTCAGGACGAGGAGTGATTTGAGACGGCCACGAACACGCTGGCATCTCGCACTCCTACAGAAAACACGTCAAAATGTAAATCAGTTCTACGGTGGAGATGGATATTACAGATTAATGTGGCTGTACCACAAAAATGTCTTTATTTTAATCTAAAGGATCAATAAAGAAAACCTTGGCAAGAATTAATTGAAAACAAAAATCAAATTACAGATTTTGACACTTGTTGTTGTTGTTTCTTTTGACTAAACAAACCTTGTAGTATTCATATTTAATGCTGGTCTTTACCAAGATCATGCCAAAAACAAGATTTGATAAAAGATCACCAATAAATATTAATTTCAGTGTTGACTGAAGCCCTGAGGAAAAAAATAAAAAATAATAATTTAAGACATTTCTTTACTATGTCTTTTAAAAGTCTGTGTCTGAGCGAAACAGATCATTTCTGAAAAACACTTTTTATGAGCGCTTGTTCACACGGATTTAAAATATGCGTCTTTGACAAAATAATAAATTTAAGCATATATAAGCACATTTATACTTATTACCATCTTACAATTAGGTAAAAGTCCTACTAGTTATTTTTTCACTTAAAATCACACTTTATCATCTGTTTCAATTTAACCTGTTTCAGCGCTGTACTTGCTTGACCTCTTCCAGTGAGTACAACAATCTGTTTTTCTAAGCCCAACATTATGTTATCTGTAGCTATACAGCACTTTTATACTGGCTTAATCTTTCAGACTGGGAGGATTTTTACATTTTGTAAATTTTGACTGTATCCAGTCTTTGCGCCAGAGAAGGCGCCATGCTTCCTGGATTTTAGTCACGACACAATGTCATCTTTCACTTGAAATCTTTGTGTTTGGCAGAGTTTTGGATCAAGCGATGCTCTGGAATGAATTAAACAAACAAGACTTACCCAGAATTTTATTATTTAATATTTTCTATCTGGGCTGAATTCAGTCTAAATAAAGGCTTCAAGATGATTTGAAGGTTTTTTTTTTATTTTTATTTTTGCAAGCAGGGAAATAAATTACTGATCGTGTCAAGAGGTTTTAGCTTGTTGCAACAAAATAAATAATTAACATATGCATATTTTGTGAAATACACTGTTCCAAACAAATTATTTTCATTTCCACCAATGATAAATTGGCTTTCTGTACTCAATATCAATGAATCCCAAAATCATTTTTTCTACAGTTTTGTTTTTTACCTGACTGTCTCTGGGCCTTGTTGCAGCATTGCACTCTCTGTCATCAACTGTGTCGCCATAATCCCCCAACACACACCTCACAGCTCTCATCTGGTAGCCATGACCACAGGTCACTGTGCACTGAAACACAAATATACACAATATACACATGAACACAAGGAAAAGAAATAAAGATGCCCAGCTAACCACAAGCTTTCTCAAACTCCATCTGTCTTTCGAGGTCGACATCTTCAACAGGGCCTCAGAAGAGTTGGGTCTTTTTGACTTGTACACACGGACATGTGATTTCAACCACAGCCTAAACTCAACCTTTTACCCAACTGTTATTTCATATACAAAGCCATCAGGTCACGATTAGGCACACCACGGGATCGGAGGAAGTGCCAGGATCAGTTTATTTGAGCAGCAAATTGTAATTACACAAGCAATGATGGGAGCTGATATCCCCCAGCTCTGAAAATATCACTAGTTCACTTCTAAAGGAACAAGCACCACAAGGATCAACTATATACCATGAATGGCCAAGGACATTCACTCATACATGTTTCACTAATTTTCTGCCTAAGCACACCAGTGCTAAATCCACTGAGAAAAATGAGGAAAACTTGACTGCAGAGGAGAGGTGTGATCCAATTTGTGTGTAATTGTGTGTTTTATATGTGAGAGCTATGGGTCAGGTTTAGTCTAATAGGATATGAGGGTAAAGTCAAAGTACCGTGGAGGAAACAGCTGCTGCAGTCACAAAAAGTGCTCTCCTTTGGCACTTGTCTGTGTATCAGTACAGACAGGACTGCAGGGTGGCACAGTTAGCAGAACCACCTGTCACTTGTCAGTGAATCTGGATCTGGGGCGAGTCTCTGACCAACTGATGTCCTCTCTTTGCAGTCGATTGGCTGGCAGGGGTTAAAAAGGTACAAGCTTTGCCAACCTAAGGAGCAAGGGAGGCCTGAGGAGACTCTCCAGCCTCGCTCCTGCTATCTTTACTTTTCTAGATGTCGGTTGTTGCACCATGTTTTTTTTACTGTCCAGTTAATTGTTGCTGGGTCTGGGAGTCTATGGCAGTACTTTTCACGTTTTTTGGGGTCAGAGGGTTTAGATCGTGGACCATAGGGTGCGGGGAGTAGCCTGAATCTGAAGATCATGATTAACTGCTTGCTCAAAGGTTTAGGAGCCTCTTCCTCACTTTTTTCCCTCCTCACTGTTTGTTTTTGCTGCGGCTCCAAGTTCTCCATTTCTATTCAGACTGCTGTTTATGAAAGTATGTTATTTGAACTCATAATTGTCTGGACCTCGTGCATCCTGTGAGTCGAACAGACCATGACAAAATCCAAGTAGAGGACATTTCTGGTCCTAAATCATTTAAAAGGGGACATATCATGTTTTTAAATCTTTCCTTTTCATAATTAAAACATTCTCAGTTGTGGGACTACAACACTTTGGTCTGAATTCTGCATTGTTGTAGCTCCACAAGCCCCTCTCTCACTCCTGTTCTGAATTGACTTAGAAAGCACCTTGTTTTGGTACGGTCTGTTTAAATCCAAATGTAGTGCTTCACAACCCTCCACTCTCCAGGTCTCACCCAATGATCATTCACCCTGTTCTGCCATTGTTGTACAATAGCAGAGATACAATTGTGTAGTGGCACAGAAACGTTTTTATTTTACAAATTAATTAAAAGATGTCAACAGTTGAAGACTTTTCCATCCAACCTTACATGTTGGAACCAGAGTCTGACCCAGAGCACGATGAGAATGAAAACAACAAAACTGTAGTTGGTAAGTCCAGACCTTATATGTCTGTTCCACAGCAAATACTGTGACTTAATAGTTCAGAACATGTCATAGAGTATAGAGAAAACTGAACGAGATGAAAAAACGACTCAAACAGAATATAAAGATATCTACACACCACAGAGAGAGACACATAATTCAAATAATTTGGCATGCCTAGAAACTTCAAGTACACAAAAAATAGATTTAACAGCTAAAAAATGGATTTTGAATGATATGTCCTCTAGGGTTTTATTTGCAACAGCATTCTGTCTGGCTGATCTTTCTCTCTGTACATGTGTGGGTTTTCTCCAGGTTTTTTTAACAGACCTAAATTATGCCAGGCTATTTAGTAACTATACATTTCCCCTCAGTGTGAGTGAGCAGTTGTCCATATGTGTACCTGTGAAGGACTTGAGATCTGTTCCAGGTGTACCCCACACCTTGCACAGTGGCTATAAGTTAATGGATGGAATACACACACACAAACCAGAAATATATCAGTCTAACAAAACACAAACTGAGCACCAGATTTATGTCAATGTCCTTGGCCTAGCTCAAATGCAATTAATTTGCTCACTCTGCAAAAAAACAAGGGTTTAATTTTAAATGTACCTCCTGAGTTCTGTCAATCTAAACTGAATTACATTTATTTAATAAGTGTATGTCTCATGTCTGTACAGAAGTGTGTATACAAAACTCACCACTCCCCAGACGCCAACCTGCCAGGATGCGCAGCTCGGGAGCTCGCAGCTCGCTACAGCAGTAGGCTTATTGGACGGATCACAGAAATGTTCGCTCAGCTTTTCCTCCCCGTCCCCTGTGCTGCAAGACACCTGCCTGTGCCTCATTCCTTTCCCACAAGTCACCAGGCACTGATGGATGTACAAAGAATAGGAAGAAACAGAGAAAACATTTTTGTCACATACCACATTTCGAAAAAAGATTGCGCACATTTCTACTTTAACGGTCATTTTATGTACTGTATATGTCTATAGGAATTGATAAAATGTTAGAAACCCTTTCAACTAAAGGAAATAAAA